TGAAATTCACTTCCACTTTAACCAAGCTGGAGCAGAGGGCCTGGGCTTTAGGCGCCAGGAGAGCCCCACACCGCCGAAGCCTCACAGAACCATAACCACTTTACTGAGCTGTAATGATTATGGTGTTTAAAGTGCTTCATCACAATTAATATTCCATAGAACACTGATGCCAAGCTTTGCTCTTCAGTTCTTATTGAACCAAAACTCAAGGGATGTCAGCCACTTACTCAGTTGTCGTTAGAATTCTAATTCAGCCTATGGTGTTTAATGGGATTGAAGACAGGGCTTTCTGCATGCCAAGTTGGACTTTGAGTAGTCTTTCTTAGACATAGAAACTCGAGCAATCACAACTATCCCAGAGTTCCCAGCCTGACATGCAAATGAGCACAGAGAGGCATTACATTCCAGACTTCATACTCCATTTCTGTAGATACCCTTTAACACAACTTGTGTTTTTTCAGGGGTAAGCGGCCTGTTTATATTAAGTGATGTTGTGGTTTCTCAACACACAAGAAACAGTTTCTCAGTCAACAGTACAGTTCTCAATAACTCATACTGTAACTTTGTTTGCTATCGCAGCCCAGCATCCTGATCATTAAGTTGAGTTGCTCCTTGTTCTATGTCATACTCCAATAGACACCAGAGATTAATAATCCCTTTTGGCAATTCAGTAATTATAAAATGATAGATTATGATAGAGGCCAGAATTTTGAATAGATTATTATTATGCCATAAAACCCAGATTAGAAAATTCTCTTATGGTTAGCTGAAAAGATAATATTAAAATGTCAAGTCATATTTAGGCTCATGATATCCTTCTGTGCTCTTTTCAGGGCAAAACAGGGCATTTATAGAGGTTATAATTTAGGGATAATTTGAGTAAATTGAGAATTAGCTTTGCTCAACTTGGAATTCACTTACAAATAACTGTCAAATTGCTGTCAAATTTTCCAAATAATTTTCTTTGTATTTCCTCTCAAGTTATTGTAGGGCTTGTTTACAACCTTGTCATTAAAGGGACACTATGGTCACCAAAACAACTTTAGCTTAATGAAGCAGTTTTGGTGTATACAGTGAGGGCAAAAATTATTTGATCCCCTGCTGATTTTGAATGTTTGTCCACTGACAAAGAAATTATCAATCTATAATTTTAATGGTAGGTGTATTTTAACAGTGAGAGACAGAATAACAAAAAAAAAGATCCAGAAAAACGCAAGTCAAAAACGTAATAAATTGATTTGCATGTTAATGAGTGAAATAAGTATTTGATCCCCTATCAGTCAGCAAGATTTCTGGCTCCCAGGTATCTTTTATACAGGTAACGAGCTGAGATTAGGAGCATTCTCTTAAAGGGAGTGCTCCTAATCTTAGCACGTTACCTTTATAAAAGACACCTGTCCACAGAAGCAATCAATCAGATTCCAAACTCTCTACCATGGCCAAGACCAAAGAGCTATCCAAGGATTTCAGGGACAAGACTGTAGACCTACACAAGGCTGGACACCTACACAAGACCATCGCCAAGCAGCTTGGCAAGAAGGTGATAACAGTTGGTGCGATCATTCACAAAATAACTGTCAGTCTCCCTCAGTCTGGTGCTCAATACAAGATCTCACCTCATGGAGTTTCAATGATGATTAGAACGGTGAGGAATTGGCCCAGAACTACATGGGAGGATCTTGTTTATGATCTCAAGGCATTTTGATTGCAAAATCGAGCTCTTTGGCATCAAATCAACTCGCCGTGTTTGGAGGAGGAGGAATGCTGCCTATGACCCCAAGAACACCATCAAACATGGAGGTGGAAACATTATGCTGGAGTGGCCCAGCCAGTCTCTAGACCTTAACCTCATAAAAAAAATCATTGGAGGGAGTTGAAGGTTCGAGTTGCCAAACGTCAGCCTCGAAACCTTAATGACTTGGAGAGGATCTGCAAAGAGTAGTGAGACAAAATCCCTCCTTAGATAAGTGCAAATCTGGTGGCCAACTACAAGAAACGTCTGACGTCTGTGATTGCCAACAAGGGTTTTGCTACAATAATTATTTCACTCATTGACATGCAAATTAATTTATAACTTTTTTACATGCGTTTTTCTGGAATTTTTGTTGCTATACTGTCTCTCACTGTTAAAATACCATTAAAGTTATAGACTGATCGTTTCTTTGTCAGTGGGCAAACGTTCAAAATCAGCAGGAGATCAAATACTTTTTTCCCTCAAAGTAGATCATGCCCCTGCCCTCTCACTGCTCTCACTGCTCAATTCTCTGCCATTTAGGAGCTAAATCGCATTTGTTTCTGTTTATGCAGACCCAGTCACACCTCCCCTGGCTGTGACTTATACAGCCTGCATGAAAAAAATGGTTTCATTTTCTATCAGACATAATTTACTTGAGCAGGAGATAAAAATTGTAAATAAAACAGAATTAGGAACAAAGGAAGTGTAAACATTAGATGACTCTTTACAGGACGTGTTTATGAAGGCTTTGTAAGTCACATGCAGGGAGGTGTGACTAGGGCTGCATAAACAAAGTGATTTAACTCCTAAATGGCAGAGAATTGGGCAGTGAGACTGCAGGGGCATGATCAATACACCATAACTGGTTCATTAAGCTAAAATTGCTTTGGTGACTATAGTGTCCCTTTAATTAGTAAGCTGACACTATTCACAATAGCCTGTAGTTAGTTGGGGCTATTAATTACTAACCTGTTTTCTACTCTCGCTGCTATTTTTTACTGCCTGGCTGCCAATAATGCCTGCTTGCAAAGATGCCTATCACTCACAAATTATCTGTGCACTGATAAAGCATAGAAACGTGTGCCATGTAAGTTGTAACCATAGTAACTACACCTTGCCAGTAAAACATGCTCAACGTGAGCATGTGTATATCCCACAGGCCTTTTCTTTCCTTTCATTGCCGTTTGATATGATTTACTATGCTTTGATATATGATTTTGGGTTTCCATGTAATGTTATATATCTAGGATACAACAGATACTATCGGATAGATGTCTTGCTGTGTTGAGAATGTCATAGCTGCATAATCTGTTTTTTTGTTAGGGTTCCGTAACTGTTTTAAGCAGATGCACTATGTCCAAAATTATGTAGATACCTAGTGTAATTAATGGATTTCAGATTTTCAGCCAAATTGCACTGTTGACAGGTGTGCAATATCAAGCACACTACGCTAGCCAGGCAGTATTGATATACAAAACTGGCAGTAAAAATGGCTCATACTAAACAGCTCACTGCGTCTGGAAATGAGTTCTGCATATGATATGATCCATCCAACTAGTTAGCTTGTCACTATGCTAAAACTGTCCGAGTGGCCTGTTAGTGCTGTTATTGTGAAGCAGAAATGTTTGTGGTGGGCTGTACAAGCTCACAAAATGATGTTCACGAAAACTGTCTTTCAGGTGAGTTTCAAAATACCTTTGGAAGCAAAGATAAACACACAAATTGTTCATCGGTGTAGTCTAAAACTCTGGAGCAGTAGAAATACATTTTCAGCAGTGATGAGCCAAGTTTCACCATCTTACAATTCAATGGACCACTAAATGTTTGCTAGATGCCAGAATAATAGTGGCTGCCTAACTGCACAGTACTAAGTATAACATTTGGTTGAAGAGAAATAAAAGTTTGTGTTTGTTTTCATCGGGAGAAAACAGCTTCATTCTATAACGTAAAGTTACATTCTATGCAGGTGATGCACAACAGTATTTTTTGGTATTTGTGTTGAGTTTTAGCGTGTTTGGTCTCACCGCAATCTACTTGGTACCAAGCAATATCCTCTCAGATAGACTTCAGTATCCAGACTAGAACTAGCTCAATGCAGTGTTACTAATCTTTTTTGATAAAAAAAAAAAGTTTACAACAGTGTCTATTGAAAAAATAGAAATATAGTACGAAGCCTGAAACATGACTCCTGTCTGTGGTTATTTGCAAGTCAAACGGGGAACGCTGGTGATTGTTGTGGAAACATAAGTTCTTGAGATTCTGTGTCCGAGAACAACTTTATAACGTTTAACTTGAGATATGCAGGTAATGCATAACAGTATATTTTGTAACAGTTTGATAACGGAACTTAACATAGCTCTACCTTTGTGTTTTAGAATATCAGTGCTCTTGGACACAAAGGGAGGTCTCTCCAGAGATGTCTTTTCTGTCTGTATTGAAGAATATAACTGGCACGCAGAAAGCAATGTCTCCAACTCTATTAAACACCTTTAGGCTGAATTAGAATTCTCCCTGCAAGCCAAACCTTATCTACCAACATTGGTGTCTAATCTCACTTGGACTCCTGGGCCTGAATCAAAGCCAATCCTAGCTGCAAATCTCCAGAATCTTGTCACAAGTCTCTCGAGAAGAAAGGATGCTGTTTTAGCAGCCCCTGCCATTATCAGTTATCATTCGACAATCATAAACTATTATAGAAGATTACACAGTTTTTGGCCAAATAGTGTATTCGTAAATCATCCCTATTCGTATCATTATTAAGAGATAAAAATAATCATTACTGTTTCTTTAAACAAGGGTAATTCGGTTCCTCGGTCACATAGGCTGAATCCCTTGAAAGAAAGTCTTTCAGTCATAAATAAGTGTAGGCTTGGGACCAGACTTTGTGATTGAATTGAATGCATGCATTATTCTGATTTTTTTTTTTTTTAAATGCTGGCCTGCGCAGCAATTTTCCATAACTACAAAAATCTAAACAATCCATAATGAACCCTAACTATCACAGAAACGCATGTTTAAATGCCACTATTAAACCATGTCCGATGCTGTGAACTATGATAGAACTTATCTTCAAAATTCCAGCCCATAGAAGCTTCCTTAGAAATGGCCTGCAAGCAAGTATCCAAGGCAGTGACTATCTTGACCAAATAATGAAGTGACCTACAAAGAAATCATGGTGGCATTCGGGAAAAAAAAGAAATCACAGTCAAAGGACATATTTCATCATTCGTTTTTATCATTGTAAGTTGTACCAAAGGAACTGACAGGTTGGGGCAGCTGTAGAGCGCAAAGTAAGAAAGGTCTATTTGTCTGACAGAAGAGTTTAGGATCAGCTAGTCAGGTGGCCAGTTGAAGGAGGAGGTCATCCATTAAATTAATGAGACTTGGCATAATAAGTGAGTGAATTATAGTCTTGGTGGGGTCTTGTATGAGACAAGGCTGGTGTAGAACCAAGTGTTCAGATAGGGATGACCCTTAAGTACCCGTCATGGAAAGTCAGAGTGATCACGACTAATATAATTAAAATTAGCTTCCTGGAAAGGTTTCCGTACTGAATGAGGAACAAATGCAAACTCTGTGTTCAATATTTTTTACCCTAGGAACTGGTGCGATTTTCAGGACTTGATATACACCTTACACACGCAGCTTTAACAAAAGATTAAAACATTAAAAAACGTGAACACAAGTGGAATCATATGGTTGAGTGTTTGAATTGACATTTAAAAAAAATGCATACTATGTCTTGATTGTTTTAAATTTTTCTTGGAATTTAGCAAAATTTAAAAGTGCATGTCCTCCTGCATTGCTTCATGAGATATATACTTAAGCACTTAACTGCAATTTGTGTTCACATAGAATGAACGGCCCTTATGTTTAACCTGCTGTTATATACATTGCTGACAGTTCCGTTCACAATTTTGTGAATGCTAATGGATGACGGTGCATGCTTGTGAATGTGACTCAGTGTTATTCACAATTAGATGGGGACAATGACAACTGAGAAGCAGGCTTGTATTTTTCAAAATCACTGCAGTTGTAAGCAGTTTTGTGAAGGGAGACAGAGACAGGGGTCCTCCTTATACCGTAGGCTATTCAATAAACAAAAGGCATTATTATGCTTGACATATAATAGAACTAATTGTTAACTTTTCATTGAAATAACAGTCCCCTATATATTGTATACAATAAAATAAAAGAGTACATAAAACAATTTCAAAACTCCTTTTTATCTACAATAAAACAAAAATACATTGGTTTTCCTCAGCTGATGGAACACAACCACATGGGGTCAAAGTTGAAATCTCTTGATGCTAGCCTTACAAGCCTGCCACCCTGTTGCTATTGGTCTTGTATAAAAGAGCAGTTAGCCATTTGTACATATTTTCCGCCCACTCGTCTGTTGGAAGAAGGGTCTCACATGAGATGTGTGATGATACATCTCCCTGCTCTCCCATTCTAGATAACCCAGCACTTCCATACCAACGCTGTCTCATAACGCAATGGAGTGGGGGGGGTAGCGGAATCAATGTTAGCAGAGCGCCCCCTTGAATTGTGTCTGTTCCCCAATTTATACACCATATAGATATACAGGGGTACATAGAACTCATGCTTTATTTGATATATGAGATAGTACTACTAAAAAACTCAAATTACATTTATTCTCTGTAAAAGGGGTAGAATTGAAAAAAGGATTTAGAGATTGATTTTAGTATATCTATTTTCCTTATTCTAGAATCATATAAACACGTTCTAAAAATATCTTTATCTGCATAGGATTATGTATTGTGTTTTTCTATCACTTTATTATGTTGATTTGTATAATAAAATGCTTCCTTTACTTTAGGACTGGACATCTTATTATTGTCTTTTTCATGCCATTAGCATTCTCTTGTCATCTCTCTCCGCATGCTGTTATTTCACTTTCGGTGACATTAAATCACTCTTCGTATTGTTCTGACGTTCCCTGTGTTGTTACACCTGTTAAATAACTTTGCATGTTGTTAGATGTCATGGCATATTACATCTCATTGTTATTCTATTTATTTCTGTTCTCTGCTGGTCACTGTATTGTCTGTGCCTTTTTCTAAGCATTCATACTGTTTAATTACTTTGTACTGCTTTGACATGCTCTCTTACTCTTCACTAGCATGACATTAAGCCAAAAAAAATGTTCAAATCTTAGACGATAATTCCATTAAAAGATCTTAAAACACTTTTGGAGAATTTTGGAGAATTGAAAAAGAAAACTGCAGATTTAGTAAAATCCAATATAGCTGTATCTCTAATTTGTGAGTCTTTTGAATATTATCAATTATTCCTGGTTTCGTGCATAAATTTCAGGTTATCTGCTCAATTTTGATGTACCGGTAACTGTAATTGCTTGATGCAATGACATATATCCCTCCAGTTTCATTTGCTTGCAAAGACCCAACTGGTGCTGTGCATTGTCACGACATTTACATTCACAGACGTTTTGGCATGCATTCTGTAATCTTTTAAAATAGTCTCTGACTGCTCTTGCATTTGCCTTATTAGATTTGCGTTTTGTAACTTCTTACAGGTTCTAACAATAGTGTAATTTAGGTGGGAAAACAACCTGATTATTATGTAGGCATCCCATTTTTGTGTATTTATATGTTATGTAGGCAAGCAGCCCATTTGTAGAGAGACATACATTGTTTCTGTAGTAATTTGTAATAGTGATTGACAACAAAAGGATTTGTGAAATAGTAAGCTGTTCACAGACGTAAAAATATTTACACCAAAATAGTTTTTGATTTTCTCAAACTCAACTATTTTGACCCATTTTATCCCCAATCTTGGGACACAAAATAGCCCTTTGCCTCCGATGGTGATCCTGAGTCCTACTGAAAGGAAGTCTTGCAAGTTATGTTACATTTTATTGATGCTACAGCTCTGCGATTTCCACTGCCAAGCAAATTTACGTACCTTCTTCATCGGCACCCTTTCTCACAACCCACACCTCCTCTACCAATCTATATACTATTGACTTTGCAACATTCTATACAAAAATATGGATCAAAAAAGACCAGAAATCTCTAAGCTTTGTTCCTTTCTAGATATCCGGCTGTCTCCCACCACTGTGCATCTTACCGGATTTCTGTCACTGGATCTTTTTTCATACTTACCTAAAATCTTCAAACTCTCTCTTTATTAAGATCTCTATCACTTCCTTTGAACATATGAAAATCACTTCTGTTCCAAAACAGCCTTTTTACAATCCATATCCTCTCCATTCTCCCTTTCTCCACCATGTTTCTTGAATTACTTGGTTATGCCCGACTGACTAAGTTTCTCAATTCCAAATCTCTACTTGACCTACTTCTCTCTGGTTTCTGCCTTCGGCACTCTACTGAAACTGCTCTAACCAAAGTGACAAATGATTTGATTGCTGCTTAATTCAAAGGTCATTTCTCTCTGCTAATTCTTCTTGACCTTTCTGTCACTTTTGACATCCAAAACCACCTACTTCTTCTTATCCCAAATAACTTTAGTCTCTACGATACTGGTCTTTCTTGTTTCCGTTCCTATCTCTCCTATCACTCTTTCTCAGGGTTATTCAATAATATGTGAATTGGTGAGAATTAATGTGCATTTAAACTGGGGGGTGGAACCTAGAATCCACACCGAATGGATGCCATTCTGTGGAGCTCTTGAAACACTTTGAGAAAATTGCTCTATTAGTAGGCACAGTAGGCCCCAGATCTGTGGAGTGACTGCTTGCACGACAATGGTAAAGGCATCTAGAGAAATTGGACTGCACAATGGGTGCTCATTTCTTCTAGTCATCGTAGGCGAACGATCAGCTTATTTTGTCACATTTACTTGTATGTTTTGTTTACCCAACACGTACCTTTCAACACTGTGAAATATAAGAGCATGACAGGGAGACGGAGGAATTGAAGATGTCACTGGTAATGTTGTGATGGGCAAGGCCATGCCGAAGTGGGGTCTCAGCCTGGCATGCAATGTCAACTTACAATTGTTGTGCAGAGCTCAAACTACAATTTACACTGCACATACTAATACAATTAGGCACTTGTGATGGAAGTTCCTGTGCCAGTGGGTCTTGGAGAGGCTTGGAGGCCAACAACCAATGGACCAGGTCCTAAGAGCCCCTGAAGTGTGTCATTGTCACTGTGTGGAGGGGTATGGGGCCCTGGATGGTTATTCTACTTCCCAGACGAAATTGGGGACTCTGGAGATTGCCTGAGACCATCCTACATATTGAGTGCCTGACTGGAAGATTCCTGGAAGTGCTCTGGAATGTTCACTGGATCAGGACTGTGCCACAATCCGGTAAATCTTTGATTGGATATCGCTCTGTCCCCAGACCACCAAACGTGGCGCTTTGGGGAGGAGTTTGGGGAGGCGATGAGGCATTGGAGGATTTCTGGGACTTGAGAGTGCTTCCCTTCTCAGAGCCCCAGGAACCCCTTTTGTGAGACCAGGACTAAACCGCTGCACGCCTGGAACTCTTAACCAGATCGGAGAATAGCCCCAACCCAGTAACACATTAAATGCTGTAGCTCTGGCATGGATTTTCCGATCAGGGTGCTATTTGGAAAGTGAGGGTGCTCTGTAACAGGCTATCAAGGGACATATAATGTGTGGGGGTGCTGTCCAGGGAAAAGGGGTTCGGGGGGATATTTTGTACATCATACCTCTGGGGATAATGTACTTGTTAGCTGGGGATAATGCATTGAAGACCTCAGACAGAATTGAAGAGTTTAGTTTACTCTTCATTACATTATATGAAGGACCCCCTGCAGAGGGAATCCACACTTCTGTGTATAAATAGCTGTGTTGTATGCAAAAAAGATTTGTTCACCCCTTACATTTAGTCTAGACTATGTGTGGAGGAAACAAAAGACTATAATCAATGCTGCTGTACAAGAGAAGGTCTTTCGACAAAAGAGAGATATAACTGCTGCAGCCTGGTCCAGTGGAAGAGGTCCTCAGAGACCCTAGTCAAGCTTTAGCAACTGGATCTGAAGTGCTCCCCATGTATCAGTGAGGAAGCTGATCTGGCAGAGGTACTCAATCAGAGTACAGGAGCTCTATCACACCACTCATGTGGAGTTTTCTCTAACCTCCATAGAAGTGGAACACCAGAGGACAAACCCGGGGTTGCTCAAAACCACCAGTAACCAGCAGAATGACTTGATGAGTATACCATTGTATAATGCGATAAAGTTGGCAGCCTGCAAATAATAACTATAATAAAAACTACTGTTAAATCAGCATATCTTACAGTTTAGCGAATAAACCCAAAGGATGCAAAGAGTGGTAATTAATTCTGTTTTTTATCATTGGCTTTTCACATGTGAGATTGAGCTCCCATTCTATAATAGATACAGACACTGGTTTTATGTTTCTCTACCCGGCCATATGTCACAAAATACATTGTAAAAATTAATTTTTAGTTGGGTGCATTTTGAGGGTAAAATGGTTGTATTTGGTTGTTAAAAACTGATGATTCCATTATCGGAAAAATTCATGTGTATCGCAGAATGGATCATTTCTGACCCTTAATTGGGATTGAAACCAATCTGCTATATGTCTGAGAGA